AAGATTATGATTTAATTCCTAAATACTTACGTAAATTAGGAGCAGTTTACGGTGCAGTAGTTCATAAAGCTGAGAACCCAGTTAACGCCTATACCATTGCTGGAGAATGTTTATATTATTCGAGTGACAACCATACTTCCCCGGTACAAAACTACGTTGTAGTAAATTATCGCCCCCTTGGAGTTAGTCCAGAGCAAGCAAGACCATTCTATATCTACGATGAAAATTAATTACTAATCACGCTTCTTTACTTTTGGTACTTCATACCAGCTCCGCTGATACCTATTCACTGATCTCAAATTCAGATTCAGAGTCTTGCTCCGACTCAGATGTGGATGGGGACTCAAATGTGGTATCGTTAAAAATTTTCTTTTTTCTTTTAGCCTTGCATGGTGTACGTTTTCTTCGAGAAATATCTGGATTTTTTTGTTTGATACTTGTCTAACGATACTGGATATTGTATTTATAGTATTTAGAAATTCATGGTTATCTCTATTAATTTCCAGTCCCAATTTTTTAGCAAATTCTTCGGTTACAGTTGACCAGTTAGCGACTGAACCAATAGTAAGTTTAGTTGTTGTCGATGCCATAATGTGTCTTGACACTAGCTTTACTATTATTTATTAATACGAAGTAAAAAATATATTATTGCATATATTATTAAATATAGAATCACAATGATAACTTTATCTTGCGAAATCAGTAAAGTGCCAGTTACAGCTGTATTAAATTCCGGTGCCGATTGTAATATTATAGGTAAGGGACTAGTAAATGAGTTAGGTTTAAAAATCGATGATAGCTCTGATGTAGAAGTATACAATCCTATTAGCAAGCTTGATATAGTAGGAATAATTCGTGAAATAGAGATTTCAATACCGTCCCAAGGCTCTAAATGGAAACAAGTAAAAGTTACAGATATTTTTGTTATTAATAGTCCTGAATATGCACTGGTATTAGGTCAGCTATGATTTAAAGATAATGCAATGAAATTGGACTTCCCAAATAAAATTCTTACACTCCTTGATGGGACTGCTATACCATTAGTTATTGGGTCAGGAATTCTGCCGCCTACACAACACAATCAGTCCGTGGATGAATATGTCAAGACGATAAAGGTATATGCCGCATCATTGGTTTCAACTTAAATAATCAAGACCTTAAGGGAGCTTTCTTCAATGGTCTATCACGAGAAAATAAAAAAGAAGTAATTCGATTCGGGTTTAAAAATTCTCTGAATGAAATAATTGAGCATTTAAAATTTATTTCAACCGGGCCTACTGATATTCAAAAAATTCGATTTGGAAGGTTGGAGCAAGGAAATGAATCAGTAATAGACCACTTTGTAAAAGTAGAAAAATGTGATAAATTAGCCGAATACAATAGAGAACAGCTTAGATACTTCTTTCTTCATGGGTTGTCACCCGATAACCAGATGGAAGCCAGAAGATGCAGATTAGAGCTTCCATTGGATGAGTTAGTAGAGAGGTTAAGCACATTGGAAAGACTTGCCAAATAAGTAAGAGAATGTGCAATTATCCGAACATGTGTCTTTTTTCTGATTAAAGATATATAATAATATACAACTTAAGAATGGCGCAACTATTGCGGAGCAATGTCCCAAAGGGTCTAAATATTTTTAATTTACCAGAATTACTAGAACAGATCTTATATTTTTTAGAAATCGATCGATCTCTCTATCCTGCTTTATTCGTTAACCGCCTTTGGTATTACTGCGGTGATCCTATTCTATGACGACGCGTTGAGTTTTTTACAGAAAATGATTATCAGAGGAGTTGGCATGGTCGAAAGATGCCTCGAACTCTTACCCGGCAATTGATAAATTTTAAAAAAGTTATGTGTGGAAAAATAAAGCCAACCTATTGCTTTAAAATGGTATATCTCAGATTAGAAGGTTTGAAAATCTCAGATGTATTGATTAGTACGATTCTATGCTCATGCCCAAATATACGCACTCTCATTCTTGATCGAAGTGTTGGTTTTTCTAATATACCTATTATAGAAATTGCGAGATTTTGTCCAAAATTAATACACCTAAGTCTTAATTCATGTAAATGCCTTACTAATCGATGTATCACTGAAATAACACGTTCTTGCCTAAAACTTAGACATCTTGAACTTGGTCAGTGTTCGATTGGTAATGAAGCTGTCGAGGAAATAGCCCACAACTGTACTAATTTGGAATATCTTGATTTAAAGGGGTGTAAAGGGATTAGCGAAGAAGTGATGAAAAAACTCAATTCAAAAATTAAAATCGAACATCTAGATTATTCTGATGATGAATGGTCTGATTTACCTCCACTTATTCCAGATGAAACAGATTTTATTTCTGCATTCGGGGATTATATCTGAGTATCATCGGGTTTAACTAGACCAGAACGAATTAATATATTAAATAGTCTTATTCGAGCTACTCATCATTCATGGCAAGGGCTTTAGAGTGGATAAATATCTATTGTTAACTTTTTTTCAGCAAAGATATATAATACATAATATAAATTATCATCATGAAAGCGAAAATAGTCAAAGCTAAAGTAAGGGGGCAAAAAGTTAATTGTCGCCTCGAACCAGGATTTCTCGGTTTGTCTATGTGTAGTGATAAGCTCCTCAAGAAAATCAGTGGTAAAATTAGCAGAAAGTTAACTTCCAAAGAAAAAGATAGTAAATTCGTCAGAGAAGAAACAACAGCTCCACTTGGATTGGCCATAATCCCACTTACATTTACTTCTAATATAATAAACAATCATCGCCTTAGTAATTATGAATCCATCACAATCCCGACCGAAGTACTAGTTGAAAAATATAACTCTAAATTGCCTAATTATATATTACTCAGTAATAATTGGTTCTATGGTCGCAAATATGATGATGATGAGCTCCAAACATACATACCTGAAATTGTAACCGATGCAGAAGATGCTTGGGTAAGAACAACTCTCTGTATTAAAAATCTCGCTAAAAAGAAAGGGAGGAGGGTTATAGTATATGTTACTGAAAATAATGTTAATGAATTCTACGAATTCGCTTCTTTTAATTCTGATGATGCAGAGCATCAAACCTTTGGTTCTTTTGATACCTCCAATACAAGTGATCCTTCCACATCTAGTTCAGAATCGGATGATAAGCACGTGTGTAAGGCTATTATATGTCTGAAACAATGTTACAGAGTAAAAAAGAAAAAATAATTATGTGTCTATTGTGGAACAATGAGCTCTGCTCTGACACTAGTTTCACTATCGAGTCATATAAAGTGGTACCACATGATAATTTTTCATTTAACAAATTATATTAACCTAATGTAAGAAAGTAAGTCAGCCTACCCATCTGCCATATTTAATTTTTTCAACTGGCTCTATCGATTAAACAAAGATAAATATTTTTTTTGGCTATATATATTATTCAAAAATGGAATGTAACAAAAAGCGATCAACTAATATTAAACTACATAAAGATACCCCCATTATGATCGATGAAATAGGATTACATATAAATCTTATTTATTTGAGATTAAAAGTAGTCGAGTCTGAGCTAGGAAATAGAAAGGTAAAATGTAAATGTGAATTATCAGAATTTGAGACCGATAATAGTGATACATTAGATTCAAATTGTTTTGATATTTTACCCAATGTTGTTTCAGTAAAAAAGATATATGAGTCTAATAACCTCGGCTCTATCCATTCTAAACCTAAAAAGAAGCGAAATAAGAACAAGATATATAATTGTACAAAGGTATGTAAAGAATTTTTATAGCCTTGACACATAAAACAATAAACTGTTTATTTCAGACTAAGATCAATCTTCACAACAGGCTATACATAGTACATAATACATATATATGAAGCTTTTAATACATATTACAGATATAAAAAACTAATCATTATGTTAGGCATAGTTCCGAATCTATGCTTCTTCTACGAGAATATGAATCGTGATTTCAGCAGGAGGTCTGCTATTGAAATAATCACTAACTTTTTTTTCAGGTTCTATATACACATATTCTTTACGTTCAACATCAACCGCATGAAGATTAAAAGAAGCATTTCCATATTCAGTTAAGTAGTTATTCCAAATTTCAGTACGTAATGCACTAACGGATTCATTCTTAGAAATACTAATTCCATTTGGCATGCTTCGATACCCAAAAAATGGACTAGTAGGAATAATAAGAATTGTGAGATGGATTCTATCATAAACCATTTCTTTGCTAAAATTAGCTTTTTCAAAAAATATCGTGGTGATATCATCAAGATATTAATAAATATCATGAGGATATCTTAGTGATAGATTCGCGAGGTTATTACGATTGTCATAAGATTATCTCAAATATATTTCAAAGATATTATCACGATATCTATTTGATATTAAAAAATTAATGAAAATTTTTAAAAAAATTATTAAATAAATTTATGA